TTAGAATTTCCCTCATTTAGAACGCAACTTAGCCTAACTCGCACACGACCTTAGTATATTTTCTATAATTTTGTATCGAGTTTAACGCTGAATATAATTTTAAGTTCCACTGATCGTAAGCACTTTTGTGTATATTTGGTTTTTTACTGTTGTTAAATACAACGTTAGTTTGTCCACTGAAGTCTCAATAAATAAAATTATATTATTATCAAATTTTTGCACAACATTCCAACGCGTAGTAATTACACAAACGTTTATTTTCAGTAATCAACCAATTGTCATTAGTTTCTCACGATACAACTTAAATTTTTCATTAAACTTTTCAGCGCGCGCACTTATTAGATATCATTCAATAGGGTTGCCAATCCAAAAACCAATGTACAATATAATAAATACAATTAATAATGTTATTATTACTACCTCTAGTTTTCCGGTCGTTGTTATTGTATTGTGGTTCTGTAAGTTGTTCGTGACGTCAGTTTTCTGCTGCAGGTTGTTGTGAGTATTATACTCATCACTCGAAAACCATCCCATCGTTTCAGCTGTTTCAGAATTCTTGAAGAAATTTTCTTTTTTGTTTTTTTTTTTTTAGAAATTGTTGTAAGTTGAAAGAGTTGAAATGCTGCAGGCCGATTCCACTAATCGCTATTGCTAAAACTCCAATCTCTTCGCTAAAATTCTTAAATAAGCGATTCGTTTATTTTAGGAGAATTAGCGATTGTGCGATTCTGCTAACACAATTTCTTCGCTAAATTTATCCGGCGATGCGGATAATGCTGAAATGCACTGAAATGTCAAAATAAATACAAAAATTGTCAGCTGTTGGATTTATAATTTAAATATGAATTTAAATTTAAAAGCACATACTTCAACAAAAAATATTTAGCAATTGCGAAATTTAAATTAATATTCAATTAATATAACATTGGTGTGCGAATTAATTAAATAATGGACTTTTTGATAAGAAGGAGATTTTTTTTTCTGGTGATGTGAGAGATTCACGGAATCATTTACGTTGGAAAAGAAAATGTTTGCGGAATTCTTCAGACCCCTTCGCTATATCTGATGCGCGTTTTATCGAAATATTTCGTCTTTCGAAATATTTTTGTAAGCTTTTCTTGGCAGGAATAACTCCGTGCATAGTACCGAGAAGTCGATCAGATGGAATTTCGAGGGACATACGCGTACTTGTTGCATTGCGCTTTTTTGCTCAAGGTAAGTTGATATTTAATAATTGCAAAAAAAGTGAATCAATTATGTTAATTTATAGGATGTTATCTGCGTTCTGTGGGCCAAAGCTTTTTGTTAAATGTTTCTCAGGCAGTTGTTAGTAGATGCGTTAAGGAGGTTGCAAATATAATGAATCGTATTTTGTAGTAAAGTACATCAAATGGCCCACAACAATTCAGGAATTATGCGCTATAAAAGAGAAGCATATCTTCGAAATCTTGTGTTAAAATACAATGTAGTTAATCGACAATTATTTGCAGATTTTATGAAAAGTTTCGGTTTCCAGGGGTAATTGGTGCAATTGATTGCACTCATATAAAAATTAAAACCCCTAACTTAGCTATTGAGCATGTGTATGTCTGCAGAAAGGGGGGAACTTCCCTAAATGTTCAAGTGATATGATTCAAATTTAATTTATTTACATACTATAATAATAGACATTAATCTTAGGTATGCGATTATAATCTAAAAATCTTAGATTGTAATGCTCGCTTCGGCGGCACTGCACATGATGCATCCATATGGAGAGCCAGCGCCTTACGAGTGCTTCTTACTCGAAAGTACGAAAATGGAGACCGAAATTTCCGGTTAATAGGTAAAACTTGATTGTACATTAATTTTTTTGAGAAACTAATTCTGTTTTTGTTTTTAGGAGATAGCGGTTATCCCCTCTTACCCTTTTTGATGACACCTGTTCGAGGAAATAATTTGTCGACGGCACATAACAATTATAATGTGCAACATCGAAAGGCGAGAAATTGCATTGAGCGTTGTTTCGGATTATTAAAAAGTAGATTTCGTTGCCTTAGCAGCGAAAGAACTTTAATGTATGATCCTGAAACAGCGGGCAAAATTGTTAATTCATGTTTGGTTCTACATAACTTCATTATTACACATAATATAATGAACGAAGTTAATGATGTTGACTGCGCAGAAAACACGGACGAAGAAATAAATGAAGATAATGACTTTGAAGCACAAGAACCCGTCCCTGAAGCGGTTCTAGCAAGAGAAGAAATAATCAATAATTATTTTCAATATTAATTGGGTTTTATTTAATTGACTTTTTATTAAAAGTTTAAATATATATTTATTTATATTGTTATTTTAATATTATTTTATTAATAATAAATTGTTATTATGACCAATACTCAACACTTTTTTATTAATACTCTGGCCTTAGGTCGTTAATTTAACATATAAAAATTACACTTATAAATTTGTGTTAAATATTTAATTGTATTTCAGTTTTTATAAAAACTTATTTGTATTACAAATATTTGGGTCTACTTCGTAGACCATCTTCAGTGTCCAATGAGGAAGAAAAACCTTAAAAATAAACAATTATTTTATTAATAAAAAAGAGCAAATTTCCACATCACCCCTGAGGTATTGCACATAATGCGTTAACCAAATTATTTTATATGGCTGGTTCCCCAGTAGGCCTATCCACCATAAAAAGCTTACATTAATTCTATTCTATGTATTAAAATTATTAATTGCATCCGCTAACAGTTGTGACGACTAAATTTTTTTGAATAAATTTTAGTCTTGCCACAATACGCACTTCACACGTATTTAAAAATGATGACGTCAAAGTTACCTATAATGAAATAAAATTTGATGTTGTGTAAGCTAACATATCAAAAGAATGCTATACATACCTTGAAATACCCTTGTGAATATTTATTTTAAGTAATATAATTCGAACAATATTAATTAAAATAAATTTAAATTACTTTTCGCGAACCGCATGAAACACATTATATTAAAAGGCAAAAAAAAACAAAGCATGATCAAAACAAAAATAGAAAAAAATGAGAAATGTCATTTTTTAATTTGTTTTGTGCATTTCGGTTGATCGTAAAAATGTTGCAGCGGATAATAAAAGGGAAAAAAGCTGTGAGTGCAGTTTAAAGCTTTCAGAAGCCTGAAAAGAAACCAACAGAATACCTGATGAGGGGAAATGTTGAGGGCATTGACCGAACAACGGCTAGCAAAAAAGTCGCTCGACGCAGTTAGAAAAAAGGAGAATAAAAGGCGCAAGCGGAGGAGTTTCTGTCTCTTGGCTCGTGGTTATGTTGATCGCAACGCATCGTACCGGTGGTGTTAATTACTTAGTTTTTTTTTAAATAAATAAAAAAAAAGGTTTTCTTTGCATTTTTTATATAACAATTAAAACTACTTTAATGTTAATTTAACCAGTGGAAATAAAATTCTTAAAATTGTGTAATTTTCTTTTTATAATATATAAAGAAACAAAAAAAATTGAAATAGTTTATCGATACGGCGCGAAACGGGATAATAGTGTTAATAGCCACAGTATAAAAGAAATAATTGACGGCTTTAACAGTGGTCAATTAAAAGATTTTGTACTCGTGCCCATTCGAACGTATAAACGTGTTGACACCACAAGCAAAAGACGCGGCGCGGCTTGGGTGTCTCTTTTTCTCCGATACGTGGCAAAGCTTAAATTGTTTGGTGTTTCCTGATAATCATCGCTTTCATCGACGTTGTAAGCAGCCCTGATGTACCAGAGAGGGTAAGACTTATATATGTATAAAATACAGTGCAGATTTTCGCGTAAGTAACTTCAATGTATAAGCGCGAATTTATAAGTTATTTTATTTAAATCGGACGAATTGCTTAAAAATTAACAAATTCCAAATTGTATAATTGAATACCTACAAATTTTATTCATTTAAATGGAAATGAGAAAAGTAACAACAAGGCAATCACAATCGTAAAGGCTTCAAGTTAAGGGCATAGGAGCATAAACTTTCTAAACACAACAAGCTCATAAATTATTAGTTCTTATGAAATAGAATCTATGGAAAAAATGTATCTTTGTAAAAATTGAAATTAAACAACTGAAAACAAGATATTTGTGAAAAAAAATGTATTCTGTTATATGCAAACATAATCTTAATTAATTATAAAGTGTAACATTAAAAATTTAATTACTTAATCCACGTTTAAGGAATGTAAAAATATTACATAAAATTCTAAGTGAAATACCAAAGTAATCTTCACACGACTACGCTTAATAGAAATTCTTCTCCCTTATATTTTTATTTAAAAACATTTTATGAGTTTTTTTTTTATAAATTTTGCTGTATTTAAGTGAACACAAAAATGCATTTATAAAACTTTAAACTTAAAATATGATTAATTAATATTATTTTTTTTAAAAATTGAAATCAGTTAAATATTATTTGCTTATTATTATCTACGAGTAATTGTAAAGATATTATTTGATAAATTGTTTTTTATTTAAAATACATTTATGGTTATACATATATTACAAATTGTTCAATAAAATTGAAATCAGTTAAATATTATTTACTTATTATTATCTACGAGTAATTGTAAAGATATTATTTGATAAATTGTTTTTTTATTTAAAATACATTTATTGTTATACATATATTACAAATTGTTCAATAAAGAAAAAAAAAAAACTTGAATTCTAAAATAATTACTTTGTTGTACGGCATCTTACTCCAACGGTAGAAACGACAGTAGTTGAACGCTGGGTCCCCGCGAATAGAAATTTTCTTGTAAGACCTTGGACTAGGCTGAGAACTACCCCGGCTAGGAAAAATTAGGTCCATTACACAGTTTTATAGCATCTGTATGCTCTTTAGTGGCCTGCACGCGTTCGTCCGCAATCTCCTCTTGTTTGAGCTTTCTTTCCTCCAGTTCAAGTCGACGCTCCTCAAGCCTCAACCTTTTCTCCTCTAACTCGACGAACTTTTGGTTGGTCTGTTCTAATGAGGGATTTCGCTTTCGTCGCTTGGCTGGACTGGAATAGGTCGAATAGGCACACAACCCTCATCGTTACCCCCAACAGATGGACCTGAACCGCTTGGCAGTTCCTTTCCCTCCTCAAGGCACTTAAATTAAACATTTATTAGATTAATAATTAAAAAATATAAAAAAAATAAAAGCGATAATAAGGCATTCGCCTCCAATACTTACCTCTAAATCATAACAACCTGAAATGTCACTTTCAAAGTGCATTGCTAGCTCGCAGACATCTTCCATGCCTTGCACCGCTACTGGATGCATTACTGCAATAATCCGTTCATCTAGATCAGTTAAATCCTTAATGCCAACGGACGCATTTCCAGTCAGTCCCATTGCATGTTTATAGTCCTGTACTTTCTTCTTGCTTTTGGATCTAAAATTAAACAATGGAGTTTTTTTATTTACAATTTTTCAACATAGTTTCTACAACTATAAAATTAAAAGCAACGATGTTAACATTTTACATGTTTTTATGTATAATTCTTTTATATATATATATATACATATATTATTAACTGTTAATATATCTTATTTTAATTTTTAACTACTTACTTCATGTTGACCCATGCCTTCTTCCAACCATTGGCATCTTTAACTGCTCCACCAACGGCATTTAAAATAGCAGCTAGAGAGCTCCACTGTTCATTAAGACTTCGCGCACCATGATCTGACACAAATCTGTCATGAGCGAAATCTTTATGCTCTTCCATATGCTGGACCAGCACTTGTTTCTGCTCCTTGCTTATTCGTTTTGACTTTAAGTCCACAAATTCCATCATAAATATCTAAAAATTAAATAATAAATAAAATATATTAAATCTTATATGTATTAATATGTATATAATTATTCATTTTGTTCACTGTTTCACTTGGAATTCATTTATTTTTGGTACAAAAATAAAAATATGAAAAATAAAATACATTTGTTTACATTTGCTGAATACCAAACGCACTCTCACTATATTACTGCCACAAAATTTTTGTAATATTAATTTTTTTTTTTCATTTTACTTTAAATGCAAAATTTATTTCTATCACAATTACTTAATTAATAAATATATATGAATATTATACTAAATACATACAAAACAATTGCTCAATTTGTTTAAAAAATAATATTTTCACTTTAAGCGACAGCAAAAACCTAGTCGCCAAAAACAATCAAATTAAGAGAAATTTTAGTCGTTTTTAGCGATTGCCAATTTAGCAGAATACGAAATTTGGCGATTTAGCGATTTATCCGGAAAAATCAGCTGTTTTTGAAAGTTGAGAAAATTAGCGAATAGAAATTAAGCGTAACGAGTTAGCAGAATCGCAAAAATCGCTAAAATGCATTTAAAGAATTTTAGCGATGGAGTTTTAGCGATTGCGATTAGTGGAATCGGCCTGCTGGTTCTTTTAGTCACGTTAATTTATTGGCAGATTTTTGACGAACATTA